GACAATCAGAGCTAGGTTTCTCATTGTTGGAAGAAGAGAACAAAAATATGGGAAGGGAATGGGGTGTTGGTGGCTCACGCCTGTAATCCCAGCTACTCAAGAAGCAGAGATCAGGAGGATCTCAGTTCAAAGCCAGCCTGGGTAAATAGTTCTTTAGACCCTACCTCAAAAAAGCACAATACAATAAAGGGCTGGTGGAGTGGCTCAAGTGGTACAGCACCTGACTAACAAATGTGAGGACCTGAGTTCAAACCCCAGTGCTACAAAAAGTGGGGTGGGGAGGTTGGATGAACTTGTGCATTGGACAGAAATTTAAAGTCTAAATGTGTACTTTATTTTGACAAAGAACAGAACATGGGCGTAAACACTGATGTTTACTGGGGTGTGTAGACACGTGTCTGCTGAGTGGGCCTGGGACAACTGCCCCAACGGCAACACACCACACCTAACACTCAGACTGCACTTTCTAAATACAGTTGTCCCTGGGCTTCAAGACAGGGGGATTCCAGGACCACTCCCCACCGATGTGGATGCCAAACTCCAAGGCTGTGCAAGTCCCTTGTATGAGATGGAGTACTATCTGCACAGAACCTGCCATCCTCCTGTGTATTTTGGAGATCTCTAGATGATTTTTTGGGGGGAGGGGTGGTACTGGAGTTTGAACTCAGGACCTTGTGCTTGCTAGGCATGTGTCCTTGAGCCTCGAAGTTCATTTTAAAAACCTAATGCAATGTAAACACTGTAAGCCGGGTGCTGGTGGTCACGACTGTAATCCTAGCCACTCAGGAGGCAGAGATCAGGAGGATGGAGATTTGAAGCCAGCCTTGGGAAATAGCTCGTAAGACCCTGTCTCAAGAAACCCTTCATAAAAAAAAGGCTGGTTGAGTGGCTCAAGGTGTAGACCCTGAGTTCAAACCCCAGTATTGCAAAAAACAAAAAACAAACCCCACTATGTAAATACTTGTTCTGCTGTATTGAGATGGAAAGAAAAACGTTCAGTACAGATGCTTTTTTTTTTTTTTGAATGCTGGGGATCAAACCTTGGGGTCTCACCATGCTATGCCAGCGTTCTACCTCTCAGCCACATCCAGAGCCCTTCTTGAGTACTTCTGACCTGGCTGGTTGAATCCTGGATGCACACTCCAGACACAGAGGGGCCCGCTGTACCCCTTCCTTCTACACTGAGCCAGGTGTCCTTCAAGACATGGCTAACCTCAGGGCTGGGTCAGGGAAAAAGAACATGAGCTTGGAATATATATATATATATATGTATATTTTTTTAATGGAGGTACTGCAGTTTGAAATCAAGGCCTTGTGGTGCAAGGCAGGTGCTCTACCACTTAAACAACACCCCCCCCCCAGCTCTCTTTGCTTAAATTGTTTTTTGAATAAGGTCTCCATTTTTTTATGCTCAGGCCAGCCTGGGCAAAGATCCTATTTATGTTTTCTGGGATACCAGGCATTCCCAGCATGCCCAGCTTTTATTGGTTGAGATTCGGTCTCAAGAACTCTGTGCCAGGGCTGGTCCCAAACCTCGAGCCTCCTGACCCCTGACTCCCAAGTAGCTGGGATTTCGGGTGTGCGAACCACCTGTGCCCAGCTGAGCCTCAAATATCTTGTTGAGCCAGACAGATGGCTTAACAAGAATGATGAAAGGTGCCAAAACAAGAAGGGACACCTACTGACCAAAGCTAGGACATGTGGAGCACCAAAATAAATGACAGGGATGGATTAAAATCCAGTGACTAAAACAGGAAACCACCTGTGTAATTAAATGAACAAATAAGTGGGAGGGAAGTGAAAGTTCTTTATGATAGGATACTAACAAGTGTAGGAGAAATGATGAAATAGATAAATGATGAAATAGATAAATCAAATTGCTGTATTGATAATTTCAGCAAGAAACATCAACGGATGACTGAAAGATTTTTTTTTGGTGGGACTGGGGTTTGAACTCAGGGCTTCCCATTTGCAAAGCAGGCACTCTACTGCTTGAGCCACACCTCCAGTCATTTTGCTCTGATTATTTTGGAGATTGTCAAGATCTATTTGCCTGGGCTGGCCTCAAACTTTGATCTTCCCCATTTTAGCCTCCCAAGTAGCTAGGATTACAGGTGTGAGCCACAGGCACCTGGCACTTTTTAAGTATCTTCAAGTTCAAATTCACATTGCAAAGCCAGGCATGGTGGTACGTGCCTGTAATCTCAGCACTCACGCTGGAAGATGAGGCAGGGAGAGCAAGAGTTCCAGACCAACCTGGGGTATAGAGTGAGACCCTATCTCAAGAACAAAACAAAACAAACAAAAAAAAACCCCCAAAAACAAAAAACGGTGGTTCTTGCCTGTAATCCCAGCTACTTTGGAGGTGGAAATCTGGAGGATGGAGTTTGAGGCCAGCTCAGGCAAAAAGTGAGACCCTATCTCAACAAATAAGCCAGACTTGGCAGTACGTGCCTGTAATTCCAATTATGTAGGAGACAGATAGGATCATGGTCTGAGGTTGGTCTGGACAAAAACTGGAGACGCTATCTGAAAAATACCTAAAGCAAAAAGGGGTGGGGCCATGGCACCTGCCTAACTAGTCCTGAGTTCAAACCCCAGGGCCCCCAAAAGGAAAGCGAAAAAAAATCCACACTGTGCATGAGAATGTAGCACCATTTCTGTGGAGTTTCTGCCCAAAAGATGAAACAGTGATCCAAGGAGCAGGAAAGACTGTACCAAATCAAAGGGAAGGGCCATCTACAGACTAACCTCCATGTAACCTTCACAAGTGCCACCAGCATGAAACTCAAAGAAAGGCTGTAAATTGTTCTGGATTAAGGGAGATCAAAGACATGTCACAATTGGGCACAATGTTTAATACTATACTTTTTTTTTTTTTGGCAGCACTAGGGTTTGAACTCAGGTCCTCACACTTGCTAGGCAGGTGCTCTTATCACTTGAGCCATTCTGCCAGCCCCCATATTTAATTTTTTTTAAAAGGATGCTTTTTTGGACACTGAAGAGCAATGTAAAATTGATTTGAGATTAAAAAAAAAAGTTAGCTGGGTGCCAGTGGCTCACACCTGTTTTCCTAATTACTCAGGTGCAGAGATCAGGAGGATTGCAGTTTGAGGCCAGCCCACACAAATAGTTCTCAAGACCATATCTCGAAAAAACCCAACACAAAAAAGGGCTGGGGGAGTGGCCCAAATGATAGAGCACCTGCTTAGCAAGTGTGAGGCCCTGAGTTCAAACCCCAGTACCATAAAAAAAAAAAAGTTAAATGCTGCCAGGTGTAGTGGTGCACAGCTGTAATCCCAGCATGTCTATACTTCATTCTTGCTAGCCCTGGATGTCCCTGAGAACAGGATCCCTGTGTGGGTAACAGCATGGAGCAGCTTCTCAAGAGTACTTTGTAACAAAAGGGGCATACTTTTGGGGTGCAGCTGAAGCCCACCTCTTCACCTGGAATCCAATCAAAGACACTGTTGGGCTGGGCACTGTGGCTCACACCTGTAATCCCAGCTACTCAGGAGGCAGAGATCAGGACGATTGAGGTTTGAAGCCAGCCCTGGCAATTAGTTTCCACAAGACCCTATCTCAAAAAAACCCATCACAAAAATGGGCAGGTGGAGTGGCTCAAGGTGAAGGTCCTGAGTCCAAACCCAATTACCACAAAGAAAAATAAGTGTCCAGGACCCAACCCTTCAGGCTGGGGGCTGCAGCATCTTAGGTCTCAGCACTGGAGAGTCCTGGCCAGGTCCTGGCTGTCCTTCCTGGGGGGCCACAAGATGTGGCTGAGCGCCCTGTGGGTGAAGGAAGGGAGGCGATGCTGGATGCAGAGAGCCTGGGAGACTCCGGGGTGGGAGCAGGGAGGACAGTTTGCTCCTTGCCCTGGGCTGGCCTGCTGGGGCGGGGCCTGCCGAGTGCCTTAGCCGGAAGGCAAGGCAAAGGGCAGTGCCCTTCTCTTGCTTCTCCAGCTCACCCTTTCTGCCCAGGGCCCTTGAGGGGTAAGTGTCCCCTGACGAACCTACTAACCTTGTCTTTCCCTGAGGTTTGGGTGAGAATTCCTCCCTCCTTGGGAGTGAAACACCCTGCCCACTCTGCTGGCCCTTAGGCCAGGTCATAGCCACAGTGCCACCTCCTCAGGATGGCCAAAGTCCCTGTCTACTCTATTTTCCCTCGGTCCAGGAGACTAGGTGCTGGGGCTAGACACTGGAGGCCTGAGCCTTTTCCCCTCCTAGCACCAGAAGCATGGCCAAGGCCAGGGAGGAAGGGCACAGGGTGGTGGGCCCCCTCATTCAGGCAAGCCCCAGATCCCTGTCCCCTCCTGTGTCACCCTCCAACAGAGCCCAGAATCCCAAGCAGCACACTGGGGGACATTCGGACAGAACCCTCCCTGGACCAAGTCCTCCAGGAGCGAGATGAAGCCATTGCCAAGTGAGGGAGCCATTGGCCAGGGGTGAGAGGGGGGTGGGGGCTCACCCACAGGGTCCTGTCCTGCTAGAAGAGGGGGAGAGGAAAGTCAGGCATTTCTGAAGACAAGCCACCAAAATACTGGGTTTGTCACTAAGAAAGGAGCTGTACCCACACCTGCCCACACCGAGAGCCCAGAGCCTCAGGCTGCTGTCTGTCGCCTGCAGGAAGAGAGCAGTGGAGGCTGAGCTGGACATGTGCAAGGCCAGGTTGCGTGAGGTGGAGGCCCAGCTGCTGGAGGTCCTGGAGGAGAAACTGAGACTGAGGCAGGAGGTGGAGGCCTGGGAGGTAGGGGTGGGGATGACAGTGGGGCCTGGGAGGCACAGGAGATGTCCCAGCGCTGGCCCTGAATCTGCTTTCCTGTTCCCAGGAGGACATGCAGCAGCTTGTGAGACAAAGGATCCAGAGTCAACTGCAGACAGAGTCCCGGGGCGCTCTGAGTGCCCATGGGGACCCTGGTGCTGCCAGAAGCCACTGGGCCCAATTTCCGCCTGGTTGGCGGGGGCAATGGTGGTGAGAACTGGGTGCAAGACTGTGGGAAAACTGTCTTTATTCATTAAAACTAGTAGTCTGCCTGCCTCTGCATTTTTGTGCCCACTCAGCACCCTCCTGAGTCCTTCTGTGTGGGAACATAGGGCAGGATGCAGGAAGAGGGCACAGCAACTCTTAGGCCAAGAAGCCTTGGATGGCAGCCATGAAGTCCTGTGGGCAGTCAGCGTGGACCCAGTGGCCAGCATTAGGCACGGTTTGCATCTGGGCCCGAGGAAAAAGTCGCCTAATCTCAGAGTGGTGGCTGGGCCTGTCACCGCAGATAAGCACGTTGAGAAGACGTCAAAGTGGGACCATGGAAAGAGAAACAGACAGAGGCAGAGTGGGGACAGATGCCCAATGGTGCTCTGGGGCAGTCCCTACCCACACCCCAAACTGCCCCCTGCTCAGGCTACCCAGGCTGGGGGCTGAGCGAAGAAGGCACGGCCCTCCCATGCTCAGGCTGGCTTACTGTACATATTGGGAGTTTCCACCGAGGAGGAAGAGGGTTGGCCCAGAGTAGGGTTCCTGTTGCTGTGGGAAGGCCATGATCTTGTCCAGGTGCTGGGCCAAGACATCCAAGTTCACCCTCCATGAAAAGTGCCCGTCTGCCTCCACCAGATTGGTGAGCAGGAACTGCCGCACAGTCAAGTCCTGTGGAAGTCTGGCAATTGTGGCTGGCTCCCTGTGAGGCCCAGGGGCCCACCACACTTGCCTTGACTAGTCCTAACCATCAGAGGGCTAGGGTGTGTCACCTGGACAATGGGTCTGAGTTGCTCATCCGCCAGTTTTCGGGCATGGGAGCGGGGCATCTTATCCGGGATGTCTATGGCCTTCATGGCTGTTATGAAGGTCACAAAGTGTGAGACAGACGAGGTCGCCACTGGGCTGATGTCCACGGCAATTAGACGCTCCACCAGCTCTGGCTGTGGGAGAGAACTGGATTAGAACCAGTCTCAAGGTGAGCACAGGCAGGCACTCCACCACTTGAGCCACTCCACCAGCCCCAGTCCCCGGAATCTGAACTTGGTCATCCAAGAATTGTGAGTCCCAGGTTACTTGCTGGACACCTGGAGTCTATACTGAATGGGAGGAGGTCCTAGCTAGGGGTGACTCACCCTCTGCAGTGCCAGCAGCATGGCCGTCTTTCCTCCCATGCTGTGGCCAATAAGGACACTGGGGACCAGGTCCAGTTGGGGCAGGAGGTCCTGCAGATCCTGGCTCATGGCCTCGTAGCTGGCATCTGGGCTGTGGGGGCTGTCACCGTGGTTCCGAGCATCCACAGTCAGCACCTGGGGAGTGGAGTGAGATGGGAGGGCACTAGTCTAAGATGTAGATAGCCAAAGGCCTGGTAGGGACTGCAGAATGACAGTGCGATAGACCCTGATGGTGAGAGGACATAGTGCCCAGAGCTAGGATGCAGAAACTGGGGTCACTGTGCCAAAGAAGAGAAAGGCCCAAGGGGTCTGACAACTTTTCTGCAGGTCTGGGATGGCTAGGTGGCATCCCCTAGAGAAAGCCAGGAAAGACACGCTCGGAGCTAGGAAGAATGGGCTACACTAAGAGGTGGTGAGCTCCTGGTCATTCCTGGTGAACACGCCCCTTCATGGAGGGGAGGGGGTGTTGGTGGAGATCAACATGGACTGCAGAAGCCATCATGAGGGAGTATGAAGAGGGGTCCATGCAAGGTCTGGGTATGCCTGTGCGGCCTCCATCCGTGGAAAGACTTCTTCCATTTCTACCTTGTGCGGAAACCCGCTACTCAGCAATCAGCCCAGAAGTGAGGGCAAAAAGTTGACCCCACCCACTCAGGCCCCGCCCCACGAGACTCCGCCCCCACCCGGAAGCTCACCCTTCGGCCTGTCTGCTGGGCTACCGCCTTGGCGATGGAGGCGAAATTGGTTTTGCTGCCGAAGAGCCCATGCAGAAAGACGATAGCCGGGAGGGCCGCCTCCCCGTCCAGAAGCTTGTAGGACAGTGGCAGAGGCCTGGCGGGCGGGCAGGGGCCAGGATGGGAGAGGGTCTGAGATGGAGGTAGGGGTAGGGTTCAGAAGGGGGTGGGACCAAGGGGAGGTGTAGGAGGGGCGGTAGATTGTCTCCGTCCTGGCGCCCTTCACTGACCTCGACTCGGAGTGTTCTCGTGTGCTGCTGCTGCTGCTGCTGAGGGCGACAGGTGCCCTGGAGAAGCTGGGAGTTGGGGAACCGAGCCCCCCACGGAGGACCCTCCAGGCTCGGGCCCAGCAGTGCATGCCGGCACCTGCTACCCAGCGCGCGCCACGCCGTGGTCGTCCTGCGCACGCTCCGCCTTCGGCCTACGCCCGGAGCCCCGCCCCTTTCCAGCTAGAGCTCCGCCTCTCTCCCCTCCCTCACTGAGTCTCCGCCCTTGGTCACGTTACCTTACGTAATCCCAGAGAAGAGTCCGGCCCCACCCACAGCCCCACCCCTTGCGCCATTACGTAATCCCCGCAGGCTCGGGCCGCCCTCTTGGAGTGCAGCTTCTGGCCCCGCCCAGGGCGGGGAATCCCGCCCTGGCTCCGTCCCCTCTCGGTGCAGCGCGAGTCCCCGCCCTGGAGTCTGGGAATCCGGTCGTCGTTGTCCAGATGTCCTCAGTTCTGGGCGTGAGCTCTGCGCCGCTCCTTGGCAAACCCAGGAGGCCTTGCTTTGGCCGGTGCCCAGCACCCACCTGGCCTTCTCATCTGGCTTCACGCACTGCCCTGGGTGGATGCCATGCTTTTTGTGCCTCCGGCACGAGCCAGAGGCGCCAGGAGTGGCTCTTGTTGTCCGGGCGCCAGCTTAGTGGCGCCATGCTCCAAGCTCCTGGCTGGTTCAACGGAGCATGAGCGCATTATCCATCCTGAAGTCCTCTCTAGACAGCGCAAGGAGGGTCTTACCAAGGTTACCTTCAACGCTTCTGTCCGCTTTACAGATGAGGGGCGTGGAAGTCCACAGAGGATAAATGATTTGTCCAAGAAGCAGAACCAAAATCTCCACGTGCTCACCTGTCCCTTTTGCGAGTCAGGATAGGAGCTCAGGGTCGAACCGCGGCCAGCTGTTTGTAGTGTCGCGGGCATTTACTGAATTTTCCTTTCAATGGCCGCCGTCAACTTATTTGCATTTACCAGCAGAGAAATAAGCAATTCTTTCACCTCCAGAATTCGCCCATGTTGCTTGGAATCGCTTCCCTTTGGGAACCCTGGGCTGTTGCTAGTACTCTCCCAGCGGCGGCGGCGGTGGTGGCGACATTGTTTACAGTTTTCATTACAGTCCACCCTTCAGCTGTTACAAGAGTAGCTGCTCTTCTGCTTAAAAGCCCTCTGGGGACTTCCTGTCCGTAAAGTTGAGCGTTGACACTATATGGTAGCCTCCTCCAGTAGATCCTCCCTCTAGTCTCTCCTACCAGACATCCCATCTTTAGATGTTTACTGGGCTGCTTTGCCTGCCATCCTGCTATCTGGGTAGTGTGTCCAATACATTTTGTTTTTTGAGACAGGGTCTTGCTGTGTAGCCAAAGCTGGCTTTGAACTCGGGATCCTCCTGTCTCAGCCTCCAGAATGCTTTTTTACAGGCCTGCACCACTACACCAGACTTGTCTTTTAAAGTCCAGGATAACTGCCACCTCCTCCTATTTCCTGAGTTGAAATGAATCTCTTCCATCACATATTCTCAAAGCATTCATCAGTCTGAAGCATTGACCCTCACGGTGTCTGCCCTAGTCCATGGGCTCTTGGAGGACCCCAACTACATTTTGGTCGCCTGGCACAAAATGTGACAGTGATTTTACTGAAAGATCATTTAGTGTCTCAAAGGTTGTTGGGCTGGGGATGTGGCTTAGGGGTAGAATGCTTGCCTACCATGTTAGCAGGCCTGGGTTCCATCCCCCAGCACCACAAAAAAGGGGGAGAGGTTCAACAGCACCCTTGAATACTTAGGTGAAGCTTGAGAAAAGGATGGTTTACTGCCCTCTTCCAACAAAGGACACTTGCGGCAGCCAGGGGCACACAGCTCCTCCCCCCCCACCTCATAAGGGCAGGCTGAGTTCTCACTCTATAGGGCCATTTGCTTAGGGAGACCCAGCAGGTGTTTTGTTCTAATCCAAGGAGGGCTCTGAAGTCACCAGGGACTCTAAACACCCCAGGTGGTGTGATCATTTATTTCCAGCAGTTATTAGAGAATCGATGGGGACACCTGAGCCCTGGTTGGGGCTGGCCCAAGGTCTGGGAGGGGTTCTTAGAGGATGTTTTTTCTAGAGCTGGAGATGGAGGGAAAAGGATGAAGTGTTCCAAAGGTGTTTTCAGTCTCCACCCCACCAGCTGGCTGGGCAGCTGGGTAATATGAGCTTGGCCTGTGACCTTTGATCATCTGTCAGGAGCCAAAAGAGCCCTGGGTCTGGGAGTAGAAGCACCTTAACATAGTCAGAGTCCTAGGTCCCAGCCCTGTCACATGGTGGGTCAGGGCTGAACCTGGCAAGCAGAAAAGCCAGTTGGTTTGTGGTCTCCGTGTGAACATTCCAGAGAAAGTGGTGGGTGGGGACAGGGGGAAGGGTCTCCCCTACTTGAGAAGAACTCTGGGAATGTGTGTTGGGCAATGGTCATCCCCAGCTGCCCACCCCCTCCCCAGCTTGTTGGACAGGCCAGGGGACTTGCTGTTGGTTGGAGGGCTTCCCTTTGGGAGTGAGTGTCAAGACGCCAGGGCGGGGGCTGCCTTCTGGGCACTACTAGAATACACTTGGACGTCTGTGATTCCAGCTTTCCAGCCTTCCCTAGGAGGCCTCATAGTCATTTTACCCTTGCCAGCTGTGACCCAGGCTGGATTCCTGTATTTCGTCACTGCCTTTCTGACTGGGGACCAAGGCCAAAGAGGTGTGGCCCGAGGTGGCAGGGACACTGCACCTTGACGGTGGTGGCGTCTAATGGGTTAAGGTGGAGAGGTGGCGGGTGTCCCATAACCGCACCTGGCCCAGTATCGGTCACGTGATCAGGGTTTCACCTGCCCTGCTGAGCTGGGACAATCAGGCCACTTGTTCGGCAGCAAGTTGCTATGGTGACAGGAGTGTGCCTGGGGAGGTCACTGGGGGCAAATTCCTGCCTGCTGGAGGGTGAGCCAGGGGTGTCAGCTGCTCGTGGCTTGTGAGGGGGCTAGGGGGGCTCACTGTAGACCCCTGGAAGTCTCCTGTGGGGCTGTCCTTCCTGGGATCCCGGTGTGACTTGCCACTCAACCTCCTCCCGACCTGTTTCCCTGTTGTTCTGGCTTCTCTCTTGTCATATTTTGAACCTGAGTTGATTAAGCCACCAGGACTTCCATAAACCTTATGGTTTAATCCGCATAGCAGCGGATTAACCCTCCTGGGCCTCTCCCATGACTCACTGACGGTTTTGAGAACATTCTCTTCTTGAGAGATCTGTACCCTCTGCTGCACGCCAGACACCTTCCTGGACACGTGGAAGGACCAAGCAGCAAATCAGCGATCCACACAATTACATCTCATATGGAGCACCTGTTTTCTTCAGAGGTTAGGGTAGCCCTTCAGGACCATCCACAGAAGGGGTGACCCTCTGCACTCAATCCTCCCACAGCTCTGAGCGCTAGTGTCAAGAACATCTTTGGGACCCTGTCTACCATCTCCATGTCCCCCCTGTCTCTTCCTCCCCTCCCAGGCTTCCTGCCAGACCCACAGAGTCATCCCTTGTTTTTATCCCCTTGAACCTGTACTCAGAGCCTCCAACGGTCCTGCTGTGGAGCCCCACCACCACCTCCCAGGGATCCGCACATGTCAGACACACAGATTCTCACAGCAGGCAGGGTGGGGGACACCTTCCACTTTGCACTGGATGGGGACTGGTGGGTGGGTCACAGGAGCCAGGACTGGCTCAAACCCAGGGAAGTTACCAGAAAGCTTGTGACACCGGCTGCTGTGTTGGTGGCACTGATACTGAGTTCATGACACCGTCACAGAAAAGAACTGAAGGATGAGTTTAGTCAGATGAGGAGTTTATAGAAGATTTATTTTGCAAAGCAGCAAGGCAGGAAACAACGCCGTCCCCATAGACTGGAGAGGTGGTCACACGGGCCACACGCGCAGTCCTTGATGGCAGGCATGTTGACAAAGCTCACATCAGTCTGGAGGCTTCTGGTTCTGGCCTCTCTACAGACTTCATGGTAATGACTTGCGGGACAACCCTCCTGTAATTGCATCTTACATATTATCAGAACCAACAACTTTCCGATCCCCAGAGCCCCAGGCTCCTTAATTGACACAGGTGACATATGTTCGAGAATCTACCAGGTGTTTTCTTCTAGATGTGTATTTAGGGGAGAGAGACCATCAGTAGGAGATATTTATTCTCCTTTAACAAGGCCTCCTTTTACTCGTTGGATGAGTTTGCACATGTTTTTCTTGATATATTTACTCAGAGTGTGTTCATCCAGAGCTCGGGGGAACCATTAGTGCAAGGTTAAGATCATAGCCAGCTGCTATAGTCAAATGAGCAGTGGGAGAATTCAACTTACCTCTGACTACTGTGCTTATCCTTAGTCCTGGTTCCTGGGTCCCATGCCTCAATGTCTCTAATCTAGCCTGCCTCAGAGAGGGAGACAGCGCACATCTTCAGAAATCTAGCAACCCCACTCCTTCCAGGATGCAGTCAGGTCTCCCCTGGTCTTCACATTTTGGAGGCTTTTTTTGTGTGTGCAGTACAGGAGTTTGAACTCAGAGCCTACACCTTCAGTCACTCCACCAGCCCTTTTTTGCGATGAGGTTTTTCAAGACAGGGTCTCTCGAATCCACGATTTTCCTGATCTCTGCCTCCTGAGTAGCTGGGATTACAGGCGTAAGCCACCATCACATAGCTGGAGGGTTTTTGTTTTTTGTTTTACTGAGCACCTGCTGTGTGCCGGCCAAAGCAAGAGGGACCCCAGTCAACTCAGGTGCAGCAGATTCTAGTGGGTGTACAATGGTATGCTGAGTAAATGTGTAAGAGATGATAAAAGAGCAAAACCAAGCAAGCTGACCTGACCTTGGGCACGTGAGGCAGCATTGCAGAGGAGTCGCCTGAATGAAGACCTGAGGGCTGAGCAGGAGTTGTCCAGGTGAAGGCCTACAGCTGAAGAGAGAGTTTCAGAAGCCAGCACACCATGTGCATAAGTGAAGCCATTCAGGTCCCCAGGCAGACCTTCGCAGTATTTTTTGGCGGTACTGGGATTTGAACTCAGGACCTCACATTGCAAGGCAGACACTGTACAACTTGAACCACTCCACCAGTCATT